GAATGGATGGAAAGAGAGAAGAATGAGAAGCAATGTAGTCAGAAAGAGGCAAGACCATGTAGATAGGGGAAAAACAGAGTTTTATGCTTTTTTTTAGAGAGAGAGAAAGAAAGAGGTGGGGTATTGAGGCTTAAAACCAGGGCCATTACAATGAACTAAGTCTCCAGCCCTTTCATTCTTTGTTACATTTTATTTTGAGACTGCATCTTGCCATATCACTAGGTTGTTCAGGCTGGATTCTAACCTCCAATCCTCATGCATTAGCCTCCCAGCGTGCTGGGGTTTACAGGGCATGTGCCATATGCCCAGGCAAGTTTTTTTTTTTTTTCAGATATTTATTCTTAACAAGACATCAAATATGTTGTTAGGAAGAGAAAAGTAGCATTGTCTGGCTTATGTTTCAAAAGATGATGTGATACTTTGGGGTAATGTATGCTGCAGGCAAGCAAATCAGAAATAGGAAAACCAGTCAAGAGTCTTTCCATCCTTCAGGCAAGAGAGGAAAATGAGTTGGACAGGGTGATTAGCTATGAGGGTGAGAGTCTGGATATATTTTGATGATCGTTCAGGCAGACACTGCTGAGAGATTCGTTGTTACTGTGAAAGAAGAGTCAAGGGTGATATTAAGATTTTTCTCAGCCATTGGAAAAACAGAGATATTGGTTTAGTGATGACTACATGTTATGGACTGACACAAATAACATCCACAAAGATTCACTAGAGAACAAAAGAACAGCCAGAGAGATACCAACATAGTACCAAATCATTGTTTTGCACCATTATGTTTTTTTTCATATTTTCTCAAAGTTTTTAAACATCACACATACTTTCATAATCATAAAGAACAATATATTTTGATGAATAAATTATCACAAAAGAAAAAAAGTACTTGAGTTGCCATGTTGTTGAGAATTTCATGCACTTTAGGGTTACATTTTGATTACATCCCTATTTAAATGACAAAACTCATGACTAAGTTAATTTAGAATAAATAGGAAAATTACCACTTTCTGCAGTTTGGAAAAGAAATGGGTCACTAAACACTCCAATGCCAGCACTGTTTTCAGCAGCAACCTAAAATGGAACAAAAGTATTATATTCAAACTTTTTGCTCCCTAGTTAGACAGAATTTGAAATAATAAAAACTTTCCTTTGTCCATAAGGTAAGGGCCAAAATGCTCTTTCCTCTAATTCTTGCAGTACTCTCAAGCTAGAAAGCAAATATGGAGCTATCCATGTATTCAAAATAGAAGGCATTATTGTAAACATTTTACAGTTGAGAAAACTGATCAACAGAAGTACAATAACTTGCCCAGAGTCACAAAGGAATAAATGGCAGAATGTGAATTTAGTTATTTAACTTTCAGCCACTTATATCCAAGACACTATATTATTTCTGTAATGAATATAAAAGACCTTACATATATATGGTGTGTGACTTTAGGGTTTACACTCTAATTAGGCAAATAAACAGAAAAGCTACTCATAAAAAATAAATAGGCTTAATTTAAACTAAATTTTTAAAATTGGAAATGTATAAAATTGATTTTTTACTTGAATAATTTAGTCCAATAGACTAGAAGAAGCAGAGAAAATTTCATAAATCAGAATAACATTCTTAAGCTTTTGAGATATCCCATGACTAGAATTAGCTCAGTTTAAATATAATGCCACCAATTTCCAATGAGTGACTTATGGCAATTTGGTTAACTGTTCAAAAGCATGCTTTTCTTGTCTTTAAATGGAAATAATAATTATCTATGACAGAGAATTGTTCTGAGACTAAATCCAACAACACATGTAATACACTCAGCAGGATTTCTCTCATAGTGTTACTTATACAGAAGATATCAAATGTACCATGCCAAATACCTTTTGAAATTCTGCAATGGTTAATATCTGTCTGAACGAAATAAATGTCACAATAATAATTTATAAAGTATGAGGCGAAAAAAATGAGGTTTCTTAATACAATTCAAACTCCATAAAAATGGATCTAAGAACTAGTTTTTTTCTTCCACTCAGCAGTAGTTTCTTATGTCACATGAAAATTTAATCTTTATTATGTCCAGTAGCATATTTTAACAGATAAGTTAATCTGAAAATATGCATGTTCCTAGAAAATATATTGTGTAATTTTCAGATGTCAAAAAGTTGCCTACTCTTTAACCTATGTTTCTGAATGAAACAGCCATTGTGATTCTGATTTTTGACTTGTTCATAAATTAAAGTTTATTTATTTTATCAGTGGGAGAACCATATTATTACCCTACTATGGGTAGATGCTTTCCAGTAGTGATTGCATTAGTTAATTCCACAAATAGTCATCCTTCCAGTAAGGAAAACTTTGTGGCAATAATGTTTCTCATCATTTTCTCCCATCTCAGAAGGGCAACTCAGTTGTGCATGATCACATATGTAGAGAGCTTTTACAGATTTTTCTTCTCTATAGTCAGTTATCTTCAAGGCTTAAGAACATATGGGCCTTATGGTGAAAATAGTAAAAATCCAGACTGTATCTCTATACTTCATTATTCCCTGGAAATGTCATAGATATCCCTTAATTGTAAACATTTTAATTTAGCTTGAAAATATTTAGAACTCCTCTTGATAAGATCTTCTTTATTCAGTACTCAATAAGATATTATTAAATCTTGCATATTTAACTTTGTAAAGAACTAAAACTTTTATATATACAGAGGACATAGCAAAAATTCACTAAGTACTTACTGAATAGAATGGAATTGAATTAATTTCTTAGTAAAACTGACTCTTCAGACATTCTTAAACTATTTTCTAAAATTTTGATAAGCAGACATGCATGTACAACAGGGTTAGGAGAAAAATAACAAATCTAAGTTTAATCAAAAAAGTGGAATATTTTTGAACTAGGAATATGGCTCAATGGTAGGGCATTTATCTAGCAGGTAAAATAAACTGAGTGCAATCTGTAGGACTGCAAAAAGATTCTTTTCTCACTTACAAAGCATAAATTAATTAAATTATTTATTTCCAATAAAAGGCACTAAGCCAAAGATTTTAATATATATAAATGCACATATAAATTGAATTAAAAAGATTACCACATTCAACCAAATTTTAAAAGCCCAGGTGAATGCTGAGATCATGATTCATCCTATCATTCTTCAATCACTTATTACAATTAGCCATAAGGTTTGACTAGTGGGAAAAGCCTCCTTCAGTTTTAAAACAGATGAAATATTTCAATATCTTAATAATTAGTTATTTTCAAAATAATTACCTTAATCTCATATGTTGTTCCAGGATTAAGGTTAGTAAGAAGAACTTCTAGACTGTCTGGCTTTGCTCTAACTTGAGTATACACTGTTTGCATCCATGGGCATACTTCCTTATATTTAACAATATATGATATAATCCTTCCATTTGGATTAGGTGGTGTATTCCATGAAAGAAGAATCCCAGCAGATCCAACTCTTTCACCTGCTAAGAAGACTGGTGGCCCTGGTTCTATTTTTCAAACAAAAATTCATTTGTTATTATATTTCAACAAAAAACACATGATAAAAGTACTTACAAATGTAAGCTTTTGAAGTTCCCCAAAACTAAAGTTAATTTATACCCTAGAGCTCTCCCATAAAAAAATAAAAAAATAAATGCTTTGGAGAATATCAAGAGCATTCTTTTATAAGAATGTAAAAAATGGAATGCTACGAAATACTACAAGCCAAATATACCTCTGATGCCAAATCACTTTTACAAGAAACTTACCTAATGCAAGGTTTAGAAAGGGAAGAACTAAGAAAACAAGAAAAGAGCCTTACAAACAGAATGATCATTCCTGAGCAAGATAATAACTTTATTATTTAAGTGTTATAACTACCAGTCTCTCTTACACATTTCACGAACAAGTATAGTTGTTGGAAAGTAAAGACAGTCAATTAGTAGAAGTCAGGTCCTAAACAAATCACTTTCTTATAATTTTGCTTTGTTTTAAACCATTTTCATGCATATCCTGCATATACAGCCAATGTAAATATTCCTAGCCAAAAGAGTTATACTAACTCTGAACACTTCATTTAGAAAAGTAATTTAAAACATATACTCACTTGTTACATTTGTTGTCACTGTTCTAACAGGTGAACTAATTTCTGTTGTAGCAGAAATTGAAGAGACAGTTATATCATACCTAGTAGCAGGAACATCATTGGAAAAATCAACCTACAATACCAAAAACAAATAATTGTACTATAATTATTCCTGAAAAACAAGCTAAAATAATAAATCTGTCACTATCAAAAATTTTAACACTTCAGTATGAGACTGTACTACTTAAAATATCACAAAAGTTCCACAGTATTACAAAATAAAGATCTGTTATAGCATATAACTTTCTACCAAATAATTTACACAATAAGATAAAAACTTAACAAAACATACTATGTTATCACAGCCTAAATCACTATTTCTATCTCTCCCAGTTCACTGTCACAAGGAACAACTATTTGAGACTTTTGAAAATCTATAGCCTAGTGCTCAGCCTTTCTCTTTAAAAGTGCATGAAGTACCTGTGTCTCTGAAGTTCCAATAAAAAGTAAAAGAAAAATGATAAGAAAATCCATCATTATTACATTTTTCAAGCAGTCGAATCACATTGATGGCTCTAGAGAGAAATGTTGCCTGCATTAATGATTTAAAGACAGATCCTCCTGGCAAGTACACAATTAATGAGCGTGGATTACTCAATAGCTCTGCCCTTTCTTTGTTAAACTATTCATGAACTCTTGGATGGCTGGCTGTAGGTTCAGAGTAGGCTTTAAAAAAAAGCATAGACGTTGCTAAGGTAACAGTCCACAGATGCTGAAACTTACACTCATCAAGTCGACATTGATGTTTTTGTCTTCATCTTATGCTTTTAAAAACTCTCTAAGGAGTTAAGTTTTCATGGTGGATGAGTTTCATAGAAAACTTTCCTACTAGGACCAAATACAAATACAAGCAGGCTGGCCAAGCACAATAATGAAAACTATACCTGATATTCTTCACCCCCAAGATCTTTGATAGTAAGAAAGCCAGTGTCAGGAACAAGATCCACATGATACCCATCCTCATAGCCAGCGGGCAGGCTCCAGTGCAGAGAAAAAGAATGTGTGGAAATATTGAAGCTTTTCTGTCTCTCAGGTTCTTCTGGTTCTGATATTGAAAAAACCAATTTTAAAGTAGTTATTCTCCTAAAGTTTCAAAATAAAAATGAAAACCAGAAGTCTAAGGGTCATGTTTCAAAAAATCAAATTGTTACAAAACAGTGAATCCTTTTAATGATCTCCAAGTATAAATGACTATTGGTCATGTAAATCTTTAATAATACCTATTTTTTTTCTTTTTTCTTTTTTTTTGGTAACAGAGATCAAACTTGGGAACTTGTGCTTGCAAGGCAGACGATGGCACCACTGTGCTAAATCCCCGGCTCAATAATACCTATTTTTAAAGTATAATTTTCAGAAACAATGTATCAGTGTATAAATCTGTTCCTAGACTATTCTTTACTTGTTAAGAGCTGTTGGTTGACCAGATTATTTTGAAAGTTTATACTCTAATTGAAAATTTGAATCATTTTAAAACAAAATAAACTATTAACCAATTAATTGGATACTGGGGCCAGGGAGTTACCTCAGTGGAGCCACGCCTGCCTGGCAAGTGCAAGGTCCTGAGTTTGATTCCTGGAACTAGAAAAACAACAACAAAAAAACCCCAAAATGAATTAATTAGATATTAACCAAACAAAAATATAATCAAAGAAGTAGTACCAAAATCTACCAATTTTTAAATAGTGAATTACTTGAGTAATATTATGTATTTCTTTAAGAGAAAATATTAGTTTTCAACATTGGAAATGAAATATGATAGTCTTAAAATGTTAAGTACCAATTGTCCTATTTCAACCATATTTTTCTACCTTTGCTTCCACTGTTTTCAAAGTTTTGTTTATGCTGCCTGTACCTCCTGAAGGGAGTTTTCACATGAAGTTCCTCTGATTGGTTGCCAATGAGTCAGGTCTGCACTCTGCCTTATCTTCAGTGCAGATTCCAGACAAGCAATATAGGGTGAGAGAGGGAGATTATCAAGTCATGCAAGTGAAAACATACCTGATATAGACCTAATCTAACACCAAAACAAAGGAGTCTAGAATTAATTATTGAACTCTATCATTTTAGAACTTCCAAAGGTGATTTGATAATGTGTACAATAAAAAATAAATAAATCAAAAACTCTTCCAGTGTATAAAATAGAAAACATAATGGGTAAACTTCTTAGTATTTTTGGAAGAAGTATTTTTAAAAGTTTTTTTCTTTGTCTTCTTTGAAAAGTTCCTTGGCCTGCTGTGCAAGCGCAAGGACCCGAGTTTGATCCCCACTACCAAAAAAAAAGAAAAAAGAAAAAGAAAAGTTCCTCTCATGTTTATAATATACTTTACTGTTAATTTTACCATTTTCAAAGACACAGGTATTTCCTTGGCATTATCCTCAGGTTGTACGTATAGTTAGTACCACAATTTCCTAATAACTCTTTAGAAATATGGTAAACTGACAGAGAAATGCCCAGTTTATGATGGCTAGAATTCCTTTGTTATGCAAAGCTAGTGGTATTTTTCCTAGATAATTCTGCATACAAACTTATGTCTTCTGCATTGTCAAGCTGAAAAGACATTGATTCTGTTTATAAGTTCATGTTAAAATAAATTTACCATGACTGACCAGTCCAATCAACTACTGCTCCCAAATACTGATTTATATAAAGGCTAATATTATTTTTTCAGAAGTCTCAGAAAGTGTGTATGAAGGCTTAGGCAAGAAAATTTACAAAACACCTAACATGAGATTTGAGAAGAAAAAGGAAGTTGTGAGAAGTGAACGGCTGTTTACCAGAATGACGGTGATATGGGCTGTGGTTTTCTAGCCTGTGGTTTAGGATTACACACTGAAGCATACTTGGCTAGGAATGAAACATGTCTCACCAAGAGAAGGAAGAATATATTTGTCTGGAAATTTGCCAATCTGATCAAGAGGAAAGGCCTGGAAGCTACAGGAGAATTAAGTAAAGACCTTTCCGAGTACAGCAAATAGAAGTGCTAGAAATGGAAATAATTTGGAATAACTGAGGAAAGCCACATTAACTTTCAAGAATCAAGTAAGAGAAGGAAAGAATGATGATAATATAGGTCATATTTTAATTTTATTTCTTCCAGAAATGCAATAAGAAGCTGTTGAAGCATTTTAAGCAGAAAATAATGTGACTTGTTTTATGTTATTTTTTAAAGATTATATTTTTGGAATATGAATTGGAAAGGGGCAACAATGACAGTGAGAGGACAATTAGTAAGATTTTGTGATAGCAGGGAGAGGAGTAGGAAAGAGGCACAGGGGAGATAATCTCAAGTCATTATTACAGAGTGCAGCTTCCTGTACATGAGCTTGAAACCTCAATTACCTAAAAGTATAGATTCCATAAGAAATATGTGATTTGTTCTCCACGGAACTTAATCCTCAAAGAGTTAGGAAAGTTTGAAACAAAAATACTACTTTCAACCTGTTACCATCCAATAAAACATTGTATCATGAAGTAGAAGTGTCTGGAGTTTTAAGAGGAAAAAATATTATCACATTCAATTTAATGAGGGATAGCAAAAGTAAGTCTACTCTTATTTAAACATTTATTCAAGACTACAAATTCCCAAAAGTTAATCCTCAGAACCCAATATCATTAAACAGATGTTCTGTGATTGAACCACTTTGTCATATAAGTTCTTTTTTTAAATGTAACAGCTTTCAGGCTGGGGATTTAGCTCAGTGGTGCCACTGCCTGCCTCGCAAGTGCAAGGTCCTGAGTTTGAAAACCAATACCAAAAAAATAAATAAATAAAATAAATTTTTAAAATAAAAAAAAAAATAACAGCTTTCCAGTCTTAAATATGCTAATATATCATGTGATTCCCTAAGGCAGCACTATACAATAAAACTATCATGTGAGCTGCAGAAGTTATTTAAAATTTAATAATATATTTAACTTGAATTAATTTCTCATTGTGCTTGCTTTGGCAGCACATATACTAGATTAATATATCAAAAGCATTATTTCACACATATTAACATAAAATTATTAATAAGATATTTACACAAAATTTTTCATATTAAGTTTTCTTTTAAGGGGCATATATGAATTTATTACACAGCAAAATTTTATATCCTTTTATTGGTACATATTAGGTTACAATATAATGACATTCATCATTGGAGATATGCACCTTTACATGCTCTCTTGGTTCTTATTTTATCCCCCTTCCCCTGCCCTCCCTTCAACCCCTCCATCGCCCTCTATTTACAAAGAATTTGTTTCCATTTTTTCCTTCTCTCATATTAATTCCATTCCCTTCTTTGCTTTCCCCTACCCCTCCCACTTCACACTCCTCTTTGCCCCTTTTCTTCCTATTTCACATTATTTATTACACCTTTTAGTCCTTATTTACACTTTCAGTTTCTCACACTAGAGAAACTACTCGGTATTTACACATGTGTGTCCTGTTTATTTCATTTAAGAGTATCGCCTCAATGTGCATCCATTTAGCTATAA